GCAACACCTACCACAGCTCAGGGTGAACAGCACAGGTCAGAAGCCTTCACATCTACATGCAAATACATTATTGGATTGTTTAAGAAAGTCTTATTTTTAATTCCTGCATTATGTGCTTTAATTGTATGCTGCAGTGTTTCAGTTGACCGAAAGGGCTTCATCATCCGTTTGACTTTGCTGATCTTTGTTGTGATGGTGACATTGTTCATCTGGTTTATGTTCAAAAGACACAGTAAGTTTCTGCAGAATTTTGATGAATCAAATTCATGCCAAAACAGTTTTATTATTTGTAAATAGTTTACTGTAATTGTAGAATATTGTGTATTATTGTCATTTAGCATTGATAGTCTTAATTGTATTTTTCATTGCTTCACTTTTAGAACAGAACAAAGCAGAATCATCAGCCACAACAATGGTACAGTAAGATATGTTGATTCATTTCCCAGTACAAATATTTTACAAAGAAGGAGACACACTATCATGGCCATTTGCTTAATTTAACACTGCAGTGATAGCAAGTGCAATAAATAGTGCACGTTGTAGAGACAATACTGCTTTGTCCCTTTGCAGGTGCAGTAGATGAAAATAAAATAGTTATATTACATAAAATATATCTTGATCATTCATATCATTGTTGTGTATCTTTTAATACAACCTTGTTTGATAGGAGAGCATTGAGAGAAACTTAAGTGAGCACATCTGTGATCACAAATATAGTAATAGGTTTAATGAAGAAACCAATTGTGTTTATTGGTTCAAACTTGCCATGAATGTTCTGTCCTCTGCTCCTCAAACACAGGCTAAAGAAGAAGTAGCATACTGTACTATTACGAAAAAGAGAAAAACTGTGGAAAAATGATTGAGGCTGAACCGTATGTTCCTCCTCTTTTTTTTAGCAAGATCCTCCTCAAGATTATTAATATTTCTTTTACTTTGACTATTTATAGAATACGGTTTTAGTAAACTATTCTGGTAATTCGTCTGATTATGTCTTTTGCTTAAAAAGGAATTATTTATATAAATGGTTCATGATTATTATTTTAACAAAGATCATGTTTATGTTATCAAATCTCTAGTCATATAAAATGGTGTATTGCCTTTATTTAAGTAACATTTGGTTTGTTCCTTCATCAGGTTGAAGAGGAGGTGACGTAATGCAATGCACATCAGAAAAACTTCAGATGAGGTAGCCGTGAACCAAGTAGACCACAAGTACCCTCAAATAGCATTTATTTTTTCATTATACACACTTGTATTTGAATGAAGCAAAAATAGCAAAAAAAAGTTTGTTCAATTGATCAAATCACATTTGTCTCTTCTCTCTTACCCAGTGATGTCAATGTGATGTACAACTCTGTGGTCACTGTAGAACGGCAAACTGTACAAAGGGTCAAATTTAAGAGATCCGAAACCAGCCTCACACTGTTTCTCACATACACACAGTGATGCTTTTCCCCCACATTTTATGGATGTCAATGTCTGTCTGACAGTCACACCACCACTTTGATCCAGAGTGAAATATCAGAACAACTGTTGGATTGATTATTACAATATTTAGTACAGACATTCCTGGTGTCCAGAGGATGTACCCAAACAACTTTTGTTGATCCCTTTACTTTCAATCTAGTGCCATTATCAGGTCAAACATTATTTGTTTTTATGACCAAACACCTGCAAAGTTTATCTTTGATCATTTTTCCTAATTGTCATTTTTTCTTCTGTTCTGCAACAGGTTGAAGTAAAAGATGAGGATGTATTGGCCCAGCAGCAGCAAAACCTGTAAATGTTTCCCCTACTACTCATCCATCTTGTCTATCACTGGACTCTTTTTTTAGATGATTGCAACATCCGAAAGCATCGACAAAAGCCTTCAACATACTTAGACATGATCCTTTCCTCTCATAGGAGGTTTAGAGCATCTTAAGAAGCTCCAGAACTTGAAGGAGCTTTTATTGTTTTTTAGTCTGCATTTGTAACATGAACGCTTATGATGTTTAAGTGACTTTTAATAGAAAATAAATGATATTGTTTAAATTACAAAATAAGAAAATCTAATTAACCTAACACACACAAATACATTTAACAATCGATCTTTGCATATCTTTTGTTATTATCCTCCTTCCCTGTCTTATATTCATCTCTCCTGGCTGAAATGCCACTTTCTTGATGTTATTTTTGCAGTTTCCATATCTTCTTTCTTTATATTTATGGTGCCACAGTATCCTTATAGGTTTGATATAGAACTTGTGCATTCAGGAAGTCAATGCCTAATTTAGGGTTTAATATGTGTTTAAGAGTGACGTCTGCCTGGAGCAGCAGGTAAATCATGTGTGTCTCCTCTGTGGTTATTGAAACAACAACTTTTGAGTAGTGCAGAGATGGCATACTGTGTGACATTGGTTTTCAAATGAATATGCTTCAAATGCTGATGTAATCACAGATACTTTAAGCACAATACATCAGTAAAAAAATAACTAAAAAATGTCATTACACTCAATTTGTGTTGTTCAAACATTTTCAAACTCATCTATCAGATTATTGACTTGATGGATTAGGCATACTTTAAAAGGTATACAAATAAACAAATAAATTGGGCATATATTTGGTGATTTGTGACTTGTGAACATTACAAACTATATGCTTCATGACAATCTAATGTTCACATTAGACACTTCAATTTTAAAGGATTGACTGAAGGCAGGAAAACATTATTATTGGCATATGTATTGGCAGGAGGGTGATGTTGTGAAAGCTTTATTGTCTATATTACTATTGAATATACCAGGGCTAAAAGTTGCAGTTGTTTACTGTCATGTTTTGATAAATAAAGACATTTCAGTCTATATGCTTGAAGTTATTCAAAAATGTTGTATCCACTGCATCAGTGACATTTTTTATACTTGACCAACTCTGCAGTTGTGGCTTCTGGCACATGTTGGAAAACAATTGGTCTTTTGTTTTTGAAAACTGTCTTTTCTTGGAAGCAGCCAAGCAACACATAAAAATTAGTTTAGGTAGCCGTTAGATGCCAAAGTATGATGCACAGATGCACTTAATATTTTGTGCATTAAACTACCATACAAAACAAACCTAGACTGCATTTACACAATAAGAGGTTATTTAAAGCAGTACAGCTATTTGCTAGTGTCATAGTGGCAGAAATTGTCTTTCATACTTCATAACAATTGTGCACACAATAATCTTTTTTTTTTCTTCACTTTAACCTAAAAACTTTTTAGAAAGAAACTTTATCTGTCACATACCTTCTTATATACTGTCTATGGTTAATGCTAAATAAAAAAAATATCCCAGCCTTGACGTCACCATGCCGTGACGTGAACCATTTTTAGACAGGCATCTCTGCAGCCGCCCCGGGGTCCTGGGCCCGGCTGTGATAGGTCTGGATTTTATTGCAGTGCAGTCTCCTTCAGCTCGCCCTTCTACCGGTGACGCCTGTTTCTGCCGTGTGGTGTGAGGAACATCTCTAATAAAGTCACTTTAGTTCACCACTCGCTCCATCCTCTACTGGTAAGAGAGCTATATATTCCACCTGACGCTGTTACTCAACTCCATAACAAACAGCAAGTTGTGTTTTAGCTCGCTTTTCGCACACCGGTACTCTGCAGGCGAGCTAAGTTAGCTAAACTAGCTGCACTCGGCATGCTGCGTCTGACACATGACAAGTTAGCTAAAGCAACGTGTTACATGCCAGGTTTGCTTTGAATTTCACGTATCATGCTGCTGATAAATTGGTGGGTGTTCTGCATAGCTACTTTATCTAAGAAAAGTTTGACAACGTACTACTTAAACTTATTAATTTCGTTAACTAGTGGGCCTAGTTAGCAGCAGTTAGCTGGCAGATAACTCGAGTGAGCTGGTTAATTACCCCCATCCCACTAATTGGCACCGACATGTGCCTGGCCACGCCGAGCTGTCCCTGCCAAATCCACGTAAAGGAGTAACGTTAGTTTGATAAGAGCCTGGCCTGAAATAGACACTCCAGTGCGGCAAAATGGCTCCTCTCTCGCTCAGTAACCTTGTCCATCGGCTGTCAAACACTTGCACTGCTGTGACTACCTGGAGCACTGTGATGCTGTCACTGTGCCAGATGTGTAACTGACATTATGAAAGCGAAAGTATACGTGTCCGCACTGGCACTCTCAACTTGGCAACTTAAAAACGTATGCTATGTTAATGACAGACAGGATATTAGCAGGATATTGGTTATGAATGCACACTAATGCAGAGCTAGCTTTCCACTCAACAGGTACAGCAACCACAGAAAGTGTAGCAATTTACATCTTCACGTGAATCAGGCTTGTTTTCTTCCGATTTAAGAACAAATGCATCTTCTATACCAGACTGTATTTTTGCATTAAGGTTAAGAAGTGTATAGCCTGAAAACATTTATACCAGTATTTCTATACTGTAACCTCACAATACAATACACATGTGTGGGCATGAGTGGTGCATTCATTAGAGACGGCACTTCCTGCCCTTAACTCCAAATATTGAAGCCATTGATACAAATATTGACATAAATAGTTGTCAGACATTTTCCTGACAGCTTGCTACAGCTTCATTTACAGACTTTGCATTTTTGGCAATTGCTAAATCCATCATGAAAATTGATAATTTCATTTTTGTAGTCTACGTTATTACATTGTGTTTTTGTATTGTAGAACTGTACTTAATGTTAGAAGAATAATGATGTTGCTTCTGTCCACAGATACAATGGCCGTGCCTCCCTGCTACGCTGACCTGGGCAAGTCTGCCAAGGACATCTTCAACAAAGGCTATGGTATGGTTTCTTACAGTTTGACCAAGTGGCACTGATGATGTGACAATGTACCGCCAAAGCTGGTCGATATCATGGATAAGCTTTGATTGTTTTTCTTCAGGATTTGGCTTGGTGAAGCTGGATGTCAAGACAAAGTCAGCCAGTGGAGTGGTAAGCTCATTTCTTTTTGGGTTGAGAATAGAAAACTAGAATATACTTCAAAGTAACTAAAGTGATGTAACGGCACATTCTAGTTGCAAAGGAGAAAGTAGATTTTGCAATTTGAAAGTTATTGCAGTTCATGTTTATTACACTTCTTGCTCTGGTTAAATAAGCCTTTATTGGCATTGTCGGAACAGTGAAATTCAGCAAAAGTAACTGTGCCAGTCTTCATTTTCCTTCGTGCTCATCCATGTAGATTACAAAGGTTTCAATTGTCTATAAAAAATTGGTAAAACAAGGCATTTAGCACAAGGCAACATCTTCATATTGTGTTTTGTCTGTGCAACAGTCTGAAGCTGAATGGTAATTCATTTTCCTGTCATGCCAAACAGAAGTGCAAAGTCCCACATCTAAGAAGCCGAAACTTGCGACTGTCTGGCTTGATAAGCTATCTACTTGAACATGAAAGTTGCTAATTGGTTATTTCAGCTGTCTAGATGACACACAATTATTTTAGTTTCTAACTTGGCTTTAAAAAAAAAAGAGCAATAGCCAAAGTATGACTGACTGCAAAATGTAATGATAGATCAATTTATGGCTTTCTTTTCATCCGTTGTATTTCATTTGAATGTCTCTAAATTTGTGCTTTGCAGGAATTCAAAACAGCTGGTTCCTCCAACACTGATACCAGCAAAGTTGTGGGCAGCCTGGAAACTAAATACAAGAGGTCCGAATACGGCCTGACCTTCACTGAGAAGTGGAACACGGACAACAGCTTGGGAACGGAAATCACTGTTGAAGATCAGGTCAGGAAAATATTCAGACTTTTTATACACCTGTTATTTAACCCAGTGTGCATGATGGGGCAAATTCCATTTATCTGAATGTCAAATGGTTTTCTATTGTTTCTCACAGATCGCCAAGGGACTGAAGTTGACTTTTGACACAACCTTCTCACCAAACACTGGGTACGATGATGGTTCTGATAAATAAATGCATAATTAATTGAAAAGTTGGTTCCATGTGGATTTTACTCTGCCTGTTGCGTCTCAACTGGAATCATTTTGGCAACCCGATCTGTGCCGTACATGCTTCTGACAAGTGTAGTTGTCGGCCATGTGACTCCAGTCCCAATATGGAACAAGTCTATTGTATCACATTACTGTGATCGGCTTTTTGCACATGCACAACGTTTACCAGTGTGCTCAGCTGCTCCTACAGTCCTTGTGTGTTTGCTTTATTAGCGGTGTAAAATCACATGAGGACTACGGCACATGTTCCAGAGGAAGAGTTTCCTCTTTCATACGGAGTGTGGGAAGGTTGATTGTAGTTGTGTTGCTACATGGAGACGGCCTGTTTTAAGGCTACAGTGTTGTGCTCAGACTGGGAAGTAAACTCCAGCACTTTAGCAGTATCTCCCAAACTGGAGGAGATCTAATTCAAAGCCAACCTGGTGAAATAGTTGAAGTGGCTGATCATCATGTGGCCTTTGGGTAAAAAAAAAAAAAAAAAAGGAAAACCCTGTTTGCGACTTGATATGTTGAGAATTATCTCTAGGAGGTCACACGTCTATGACAGTGATCCCTAAGGTGCCTTTCATAACATCCTGGAATGCCTCGAGGACAGACCAAGGGTGCCACAAGATTTTTTTATTATATATAATTTTATTCTTTTATTTTTTATAAATGTTTTAACATATTAAAAAAAAAAAAGGATGAAACAAGGAATGAAAAAAGGATGGATTTTTTTTTGTGTTATCGTAACATGTTATGAAAGATTTTGTTTTTTATATATTTGTGTCAAATTGGCTAAAAACATACTGCAGGAAATGTAACCTGACCCACTTGTATATTGTCTGATGCCTAATCTGATTTAATTTTACTTAAAGTTGTGTTTCTCACCAACAGCAAGAAGAGTGGCAAAGTTAAGACCGCCTACAAGCGCGAGTTCGTTAACATGGGCAGCGATGTGGACTTTGACTTCGCCGGGCCCACCATCCACGGAGCGGCTGTCGTCGGCTTCGAGGGATGGCTCGCCGGTTACCAGATGAGCTTCGACACTGCCAAATCCAAGATGACCCAGAACAACTTCGCTATCGGCTACAAGACGGGAGACTTCCAGCTGCACACCAATGTGTATGTATTTACATCAAGGTCCATCTGTGAACCTTCAGTTCACTTAATCTAGAATTTGGTCAGTGTTTTCAATACCTGCATCCACCTGACCAGTGACGGCCAATCTTCACTGCCCAACCCGCAAAAATATTCGTTAATTAACCAAACGCACCTGAACAACTTCATGCATTTGAGCAGCACAAATGTCAGGACTGAATCAAAGTGTGTGTGTGTGTGTGTGTGTGTGTGTGTGTGTGTGTGTGTGTGTGTGTGTGTGTGTGTGTGTGTATTCCAGACTTTCTTTTCTGTAGCATGACATCTCTCGTACGCTTGTTATCTTTAAAGCAATGACGGCGCTGAGTTCGGAGGCTCCATCTACCAGAAGGTGAGCGACAAACTGGAGACGGCAGTCAACCTGGCCTGGACCGCTGGCAGCAACAGCACACGCTTCGGTATTGCAGCCAAATACCAGCTGGACATGGATGCCTCCGTCAGCGTAAGTAGTGCAGCAGAGGCTTCCAGAAAATGAAAAATGTGACTATTGTCACAAACTGATGTTTGTTTGTTTTGTTTTTTTTCTCCATAGGCTAAAGTGAATAACAATAGCCTTGTTGGTGTTGGGTACACCCAGACTCTTAGACCAGGTAAGGTGCTTTCCTACAGGTCCATGGACAGCTGGAGGATGTTTACAAAAATGTTTATAGATTTAAGAATACCTCTATTTTGAGTCCTCGCACACAACACTTCAGTTTGAGCAAATGCACTTTGAATACTGTGACCTAGAATATAGTCATTTATAGCAACTCTTAACAGCCTGCGTTGTCCTGTCAGCCCTCTCACAACCCGTGTTTAAGAAGAGCCGGTTTGCACTTAAAGGCTAATGTTGGTCCTCTTGCCTGTGCAGGTGTGAAACTCACCCTGTCTGGCCTGGTCGATGGCAAGAACGTCAATGCTGGAGGCCACAAGCTGGGTCTGGGCTTGGAACTGGAAGCCTAAGCGTTCAACATACTGCAAGGGACTCGGGAATATCAGAAGAATCTGGCCTTAAATGTATATCCAACTCTAACCAGCAAGGGGATGTCTTGGAGAGATCGGTTCAAAGGCTACGACAACAAACTCTAACTTGTCAAGTACCTCTTTAAGTTGGTGCTTCCGTCATTGGTATATTTTACCTTTGTGGCTTTTTACTTTGTAGTTGCATCTATTCAGGAGACAGTTGTTGGCATATTATTTATAAATCATGACATTCTTTTCTGTCCAGCACTGGCATAATAATGAAATACAATCCCTTTGACTGTCATCAGCTCTGTGGCTTTATTATGATAATTCCCAGACAGTCGACATCACTTGACTGTTTTGTGTGGTGAGCGTTGTCATACCTTCGCTCTGATTTTACAATCATGACCATCTGATATTCCTTTGTCGTCTTCACAGTTTTAATTTACCAACCACGTTAAGTACACTAGTCTTTTTCTGCTATTTAAATACTGCTGCACCCTTTCTGTTCATGCACACGAGGACAAACTAAAGCTCTATAATGTTTTTTCTTTAGCGTCGGCCATCAGGGTTTGTGATGTTCTGTTAAAGCTGCACATGTGACCTTCCCTTAAACTGGGCAGTTTTTGGGTTGCTTAATGTCGGGTCTGTAAGTTTGAAAGGAACCTGTACACTTGGCCGACCAAGCAGAATTAGTTTGTTTTATTTCCATTCTGTACTAACAGACAGCTAGAGGGTACACGAGTCATGTTCACAGTAATGCCAAATTATCGTTGTCCGGAAGAAGAGATGTAACTCAAAGTTGCACTTGTGCACTCTTGGAAAGTGCTTTCCTGTACTGGGTGGTGACAGAGCCCGCAGGAAGTCTTGGAGGTCCTTATGTGTATGTATACATTTTCAATAAAGTCTTTGAACTCCACAAATGCATTTTTAATATGTGATATTACTAACGACTCATTAACTAGAGGCCTGTATCACAGAGCCGGGTGAGATGGGTCCTAGTTTAATGTGAGCTCATGGAATTTATTAGGCAGGAGTCAAGAATTGTTTACCAGCTTATTGGACATGTTTACAGGAAGTATAAGCAGCCTCAACCAAATGTTCACATTGTTGTACAGTTGACTTCAAGTTGTTTTGACAGCTGCGCACTCCGAACAAAGTGAAGAGGCATGTTAAAAAGATAATGCTATAGGCTCTTTGTATATTCAGACTGTTGTGTTCTTTATAACAGAAGTGCACAGCAGTCCAATTTTGAGTTGACGCCTGAACTTTAAACATTTTTATGCCAGTCTTCCTTACAAATAAGCTCAAGCGCTGTCGACTTGAGTCTTTTAAATGTGGTTGAAGTCTTGGGTGTTGTCAATCAAGTATTTTCAGGGACTTTACTTATAACCGAGATCCAGTTTGAAGGGGTATTTTGGATAACGTCACTGTAACTCCACTTTGTTTTATGAATATGTGTCTACACGAGTAGATGGAGGTGCTTATGTCTCGTGTGAATGCTCAAAACCTTTCGAGAGGAAAAGACTTGCAGTGAAATGAAAACAACAAAGGAAACAATGCCAAAAGGACACCAACTGAGACATGTTCTTACAAAGCAGCACGATAAGTTAAACACGCACCGTAATGAGACAGTTATTCCAAGGTTACAGGAAATATGTTGGATGGAGTCGGTTGTCCGTCTGATTGGTGCCCCTGACTGGTTGCAGTTGCCTCGTCATAGCTGCCCACAGTGCTGCCTGGATATTGTGTACAGTACATGGCAGCAAAACGTTTGATTTACTGTCAATCATTTGTGTGGAATGGCACTGCCTGTGTTAAATGATTGTTGCTATTGATCTACCGCAACCCTCAGCAGTTGGTCTCAACATCTGGTGGATGGAGGTTTCAATGGCGACGCAGCAACACTGCAGTAAGTGGAGTGGTTTATTGCCAGAGAGGGGAAATGAAACTGTAGGTGATGAATACAGTGGATCAATCGGAAACAGCACGTCACACCCCTTGACTTGTCAATTGTAGACGGACAAGAGGTTCAGACACAATAGAATTTGGTGAGGAGGCCAGCAAACGTATTCAGTGGATTGATATTGCATTTATTTTTCAGCACATACAAAAGCAAATAAAAGTAACCTTGCATATTTTACATTCATGATTAAATGATTGAAGTAAGTCAAAATATATCACATTTGAAGTCCAAAGGCGAAGCCGTTTGTAAACAGATGAATCATGCTCTCTCCTTTTAAAATAGCTGGAAGAGAAATTACAGCCTCTTTGCTTGGCTCAGTTTATACCTTGAATTAGCATATGCATGTATTAAGCCATTCTCTATTTTTAGCGTCGCTATCCCTGATATTCGCCTGTCAACTGCTGTCTCATTCAATTTAAGGTGGACATGTTGTAAATCCTGACTTCCCTTTACGTCAGCAGATGTTTGGCTTTTAGTGCACTTATTTCTCTGAACTACTCTCCACCTCAGTCTCACTTTGAGGATTCTTTATTTTTTCTGAACCTTCAGACAGCTTTGATTTCTGAGCCTGGCTTCCTGTTAGTACCCCCTGATGCAACTCTTTGATTTCTGAACTGACAGTTGTCTTTTCCCTTGGCAACACAGTTTGGACTGTTTGGGTTTTACCCCCACTCTTTGGTTTCTGATCCTCCACTTCAGGAAGACTTTTCACATCAGATTCAAGAGAAGACTCTTCGTCTTGATTTTTATTGCTACCATTTCTAGCATCTTGAATGCCTTCTGCTACTTTATCCTCACCTTTTGCAGCTTCAGGTTCACTGATTCCTTTTGGGTCTGCATGACTGTTTTCCCTTTCCTCACTCTTGGATGTTGTACTTGAAGATACTTGAGCTTTTTCTGAAAGCTGCTCTGTCTTTACGGACAGAGTGCTCTTTGTCTCTGCTGTAAAATCTGCTGTGTCTGAAGCAGGAACTTTATCTAGCACTTGAACACTGCCTAGTCCTCGAGTGGTGTCTGATTCTTTAGACACTTGGGCGGGGGTCTCGTCAACAGGCTCATTCACTGGAGCTGAGATCAAACTCTCTTTCTCAGCATCTCCTTTTTTACCATCAGTTTTTTTCAGAAGCTCATCCTCCGCAGAGACCTCTGACTTTAAATCATCTGGGTTTGAAGAGAGATCTTTCTCAACTGTTACGATTGTCTCTGCAGCTTCTTTCTCTTCTTTTGTGTTTTCAGCTACCTTTTGATGCTGCTCATTGTCTTCCTCATCAAGGCCCTCACTTAATATAACTTTGCTTTGAGTATTTTTATCTCTGTCACAATGAGAGGGACCCTCGCCGTCAACTGCTTCAGTCTCCTCTGACTCTTCTTTACTCGTTTGACCTTTTTCAACATCATCCACCTCACCAGAAGTCCCATCATCATCTCCGTTCACTAAATTCACTCCCGATGCTACTTGATTCTGCTCACTATCAGGCATCTGCTCACCTTCTTCCTCTCCACTGTCTTTATTATCCATCTCTTCCTCACTGCTCCCTCTATCTCTTTTAACACACTCCTGCTCATCTTTTTCCACCTCTGTCTCCTCCGATCCTGTCTCTTCAAATTCCGACATCTCAATTTCCCTGGTGGTCTCCGTTATGATCTCCTCTACGAACTTGTACTGGGGTTCAGCTCGTTTGTGCGGGCCTCCCGGTCGGCTGAGGCAGGGCAGGGTGTAAACGGGGGACTGGTGATAGATGTAGGGCAGGGACATGTGGGTGTCTGACATCGTGGACAGCCGAGCTTCCTCGCCACAGAGGAGTTTCCTGCAAGATAGGAGACACAGATTTTAATCTGCAATGAACAACGTGCACGTGCAGTGTTGATACTGAATTTATTTGAATCTTCATTAATGAGAAAGATTTGAGACTGGTGCAAAAGCCTCTAAATAGTGTGGCCTTATGTGTCATTAAATATAGTGTTGTAGTTTAGTTATTTGCCTTTTTCTTTACATTTGATTTTGTTTACAAATAAAATCAAATGGGTAGTGTAAGGGAATTATACATTATTGACCATCTCTGTGATACCCATTGTATACCCTTTGTGCAGTGTCTGATTGTTTGCATCAGACACTGCACTGCAATTGTATTGTACTTAAATGCCACATTCCTAATAGAAGAGGAAGGATCGAGATTAACAAGATAAATTATGGAAAACTGAGACATTGAATTCTCCTCATTCCCAAAACACTTTCCCTGGTAATAACAATGAGTCCCTCTTTAGGTAAACCCACGTGGACTCAGTACACCTTACCTGTAAGACAGTATTTCCACATCCAAAGCCATCTTCACATTAAACAGGTCCTGGTATTCCCGCAGGTAACCAGACATGTCAAATTTGCAATTGATGAGGTCATTTTCAAGTTCTTTGATTGTGTTCTGCAGTGAGAGAGGAGAGAACACGTGAACTGGAGACCATGGGAACACTAAACATGGCTTTATTAGATCGTGCTCTTACAAAAACAGTCTAACCTGGTAATGAATCATTTCTTCCTTGTTGCGATCCTCGACGTCATGAAGTTGCTTCTCCAGCGCTTCCCTGGTGCCTTTAGCGCAGTCCAGTTCGATGTTATTGGCCTGCAGGCGCCTCCTGTACTCCCGGATCTCTTGCTGGGTCGCTTTTAACGCCTCTATCTTGCCCTCGCCTGCCTCCGTTAATCTTGCAAACTGAGATCGGAAAGTTTCTCCCAGCTGCTGGACGTCGGACATGGTTTGACCTTCCAATTGTGCCCTGATGTCCCGGAGTGCCGCAGTGACGCCAGAGTTGCCAAATTCCTGCGCCTCGACCGTCACTTGCGCATTCTGGATTTGGTCAAACATCTCGGACACCTCTGCCTCATGGTTTCCCTTCAGGAAGTGGATTTCATTCACGAGAGCCTGTGCTTTCTTATCCAGCTGGATTTTAGCCCGATACGCGTCGTTAATGTCCCTCTTGAGGACCACAATGTTGCTCTCGGCATCCGATCTGCCACGCGCCTCCTGTTCATGTTGTCCTCTCAAGCTGGACAGTTCTTCGTCCAAATGCCGATGTTCGATTTCAATCTGGTGCTTCTGATGAGTGATATCCTGAACCAGCTGTCTCAGTTTCCTGAGCTCTGGTCCGCACTCCTCCTCAAAAATAGACGCGGGTTTGGCTTTCCCTCTGATCTCCCCAATTTCTCTCTCTAGCAGATGATTCTGGTACTCCAGATGGTGCACCTTCTCTATGAATCCCGCCAGACGATCATTCAAGCCATGCATCAAGTCTTTCTCGTTAAACTTCCCAGATAGCGGGTTGATCGAATCCATGCCCGTGGACACGACACTGGCATTCAATTCCGGAAGTTTAGAACTGTAATGTGAATACTCATCTGGAGTGATCCTGCGCGGTAAGAAGAATCTGTTAGCCATGCTGCTATTCAGGCTGTCGTGGTGAATCTCCGGCGTAGGGATGCGGGCTTTTTATAACCGTGGCCATCTGCTCGGTATGCAGAACGGAGCTGTCCGTGGTGCTGAAAAGGTGTAGCATCAGCTGACGGTCTAATGAGAGCTCACACTACGTTTTGTCGCAGACAGCAGTCACGTGGACAGTAGATGTCAGTCCTAAAAGCAACGAACCCTCTGTACATTATTATTACTGGTATAATAATAGTTTTTACTATTAGTATGTGTGTCAGAGCATTACAGTTGTTGTTAAATTCCTTCATTAATATATATCAATCCACGTGTTTTCACGACCAACCTGCTTTACTAGCAGAGGACGTCCTCCCGTCCTTTAGAGGAACTTCTAATTCACAAGCAGATTTAAACTCACACCTTTTATAGTATGGTGTTGAAATCTTAATGGCATCTAGATCCAGAGGAAAAGCCTGAAATCAAGTCATTTGGTTGCATATGTTGTTCAGATTATTTGTTTTCAGTGGTGGAATGTAACTCAGTACATGTAGCCCACTCAAGTACAGGAACAACGTTGAGGTACTTGTTCTAATGCTACTCAAGACTTCTACTTTACTTTATTTTGAAGGGAAATATTCTATATCAACTGCATCAAGACAGACCTACATTTGATATACTTTTACTAGCATTAAGAATACAGGACGTTACTTGTAAAGGACTCTTTCTAGACCGTAGTATTTCCACTGTTTATACATAAATATGAATGGATATACAATATATTCTCAGATGCTCAACCTTCTCATGATCTATAACTTTCCTCCCAAACTCATGAAATCATAATCATATTAGGTCCATAAAAGTAAACATCAACTTAAGCTGCTATTAGTTGTCAAATGTGAAATATGATTGTTATTTGAGTTATGTTACAGTCTAACTGTTTAATGTTAATCTCATTGCGTGTTCTATGAAAACGGCAAATTGTGTTTTCATTTTCTCCTTCTGCTATTTAGCTAGTAAATCATATAAAAACACCATTAACACCTCATGCCTTTGTAGACTTAAATAATGCCCTCCTTGTTTGTGCTCTGCAGCCATCTTTACTATTTTTCTAAAGAAAGGGAGTCCTGCCTGCGTTCAGCTAGTACTAACCAGAGCAACAATATGTTTGAACTGTAGTGTGGTTTAAGTTTTACCATTTCAAACCCAGTGAAAAGTGTCATGTATATAAAAGCAACAATGTAAGACACCTAGTATAGTGAAAAGACGTACATAAATAAAGGTTGCTATGTTCATCTCACTATAAACAGCTTAACTGTAGCTTCTTTAAAAATATTTAGTTTGGCTTTGCATCATTTTATTTTGATGTGTGAGCTGTTTTGGTCACGGTGTAATGTAGCTACAAATAGAGCCGTTTATATCCGCCTGAAAAAAGATGATGTTTCATGTTCTGTTACAAAGAAATCCACTTTTTTAAATGTTTATCTGATCTTGAGCTGTAGCACTCTGGCATATATTGATTTTGGAGTTATGTGATTTTGATGAAACAGTATATTTGTTTTATTTATAGCTCTTTTATGATTGCTGTCCTGGTAAAGACATTAAACACAGAGATGAAGTTGTAATGTTTTATATTCTTTAGAAAGGACGTTTGGTAGATTATTATTGTAGCATGGCAAAAGAATACAGAAGTCAATGTACCCGTCATTTCTATTCAATACCAAAGCTAAGGCACCAATATGACAAATATTAAACTTTTGAACTCGTGATTTTAGCGTTTAATGACGATGGACAGCCCGTCGCCCACAGTGAGCATGCTCAGATCAATCCTCTGGTCGTTGTGTAGCTTCTTATTCAGAGCATCCAGAGCCTGGGAGGTGAGGTCATCGGGCGCAGGATTCACAACCTTTCCGCTCCATAGCACCTTTCAAATAAAGCAACAACAGTGCTGTTTTATTCTGTTCCATCATGCCGTACACCTCTCCACACCACAACATGACAGATCCTGCTTGTGTGTATTGTACTTACATTGTCAATCGCAATGATGCCCCCTGCTCGTATGAGCTCAAGGGACTTCTCGTAGTATCTGTCATAGTTTAACTTATCGGCATCGATGAACACAAAGTCATATGTTCCAGCTTCCCCGGCTGCTATCAGGTCATCTGATGAAACAGAGATGAAAGTCATGAATGCAAAAAATGACTCGGTTCATTTTTATCAGAACTCATGACTGAGATTTATATTTATTTATTTATAAAAGCACTTACTCAGTGTCTTCATGGCTATTTGGTGGCGAACATCTATCTTATTTTCAACTCCAGCCTGAGAAAAGGTTCAACTTTATGAGAGGTGTGCAGGGATCTTCATTTATCTTTTAAAGAGACTGTTAGGGAAGACTTAAACAGGAATTGATTTTGCATCTCAATTTGAAACAGTTCCCTGAGAAGACACTTTTTTTACTCTCCAGCCAGCAGCATTTTGTGAAGTCTTACTGACGGAGTGTAGACGTGCAGGGTGAACAGTGTGCTGTCTGCTGCACAATTTGTCTCTGACAGAAGCAAAAATCAATCTTACTAAACTCGCAAAATACCAAATGCAAGTGCCAGGTTGTGTAATGGCACATGTACCGAGTTAAGATTAAAGGTTTCATGAACAAATCCTACCTTTTACAGTGTCTTCTTTTATCTTGTAGACAATTTGAGTCATGCTGTTCAGAAATACATTTTCTCACCTCTTTAAAAAACGGTGTGGCAATGTCCACGTAGGTGCCTTCTATTTCACAAGCTACCACTCTTCCATTCTCTGACATGGCCAAAGCCATGCTCAGTGCATTGTACCCTGTGTACATCCCTGCAGAAAAAACATCATGTTAACCCAAACAATAATTTGATTTCTTTTCTAGCAAAGAAAAGCCATGCAACCGAATGCCTATTTCTAAAATGTAATCAAAACTTTATTGATGAAATATGAATACTGCAAAATTCAAAGCCGTGAGACACCTCTTTAAAATTCCCAGTAGGCAATTTCAGGTTGTGTAATTTCAAAAGCTTTTAAATACATTTTTATTTTCTGCTTTAAACACTTGAAATACTTTATTGAAATAAATTCAACTGCCATTTTTCAGACCTAAAATAAAATGTGTTAAAGTAAAACAAATTAATTTGCTCAAATTGGATTGGTTAAAATTCCAAAAACATAAATTGAGCCTGAATGGTGTCGTCCACATCTCTGTCCTGTCAGGTTATGTTTTGTCAGTTATAACCAGATTGATGCCTTTCAGAGTAAAACATGTTGTGCTATAAAGTAAGCAGTATTTTATTTTCAGCATTATGTATTCTGCTCTGGTTTACGTTTTTGCTTCGTCTTCTATTTGATCTCACATAATCTCACCAATTTCAATCGCTTTCGTTGCATTTATCAGTCTAATGAGATTTGCCATGAACTGGGCTTGTTCACTGGCAACCATCATGATACTCCATTGGTCTTCAAGAGTTCTCTGAAATGACAACATCAAAAAAATTGCACACATCATTATATTGTCTGAATAAACATGATATCTTGGTACTCCTCATTTGCTGTGTATTCTTTTAAAATGTATTGTTTTATAGAAAGGGACGATAATAGAATGTAGATGGGACACAAAATACAACTGAAAATATGCAATTCTAAGCAAGTGTGTCTTCAGCTATACTTTTAAAAAGTATCCAGTCCCAAAGTTTGATGCAAAGTTTAGAAGCAACAACTTCAAAGCCACAATCATCTTCAGTTTTTAGCCTGGAGCTCCAGATGACCAACCGGCCTTCGTCTGACCTAAATAACCTGCTGGTGGTTCTTCAGCATGTTGATTCATGTTGGCAGGCACCTGCCCATGCTAAGCTAAAGAGGTGATCAAAAGAATCCTCAACTGAATTTCATAGGGAAAAAATGTAAAGATATCAACTTGGATGTAACAAGGGGGCTTGACCCAGAGGCCCGAGCAGCATCATACTGAAACACCTGTAAACAATGCAGGAGCGTCTCACTAAAACAAGTGACAAAATAATTACAATACAAGTTATGAAATGAGTGCTTGATTTATTTTCTCCATCTCAGCATGAGACACTAGCATACGAGGACTCGTTGGTTCTCTTACCAGTCTGAGTTTGGTGAGAACAGGGTGCTCCCTCAGAGAGTTGTTGACAACATACTGCAGCACAGGATCGTCCTTCCCTCTGCTGTGGCTCTTCCCTATCAAGGCAGACTTTCCCACACCTGACCGACAAGAAACAGAACAGCAACTACCACTTAACTACCAATCCCAGAAATCCCTGTCATCTGCCAGATTATACACAAAACCATCATATCATACCTGTTAGTACAACAGCAAGTCCAATGCAACAAATCATTTTGATACCTGTAGCCATTTTGGGGGGGTTGGCTCAGTGCTTTGTTAAAGAATGGTTGAACAGCTCAAGAGTAAATCCACTGAATCTCTCAGTGTCCGTCCTATTTGTACAATACTGTTTGTTTTGCTTAACCTTTAAGTGGGAGTCTCAACTTATTGATTTTTCAGGTATTGCGAAAGTAGGAAAGTTTCTGTAAGATAGACAACAATATGTTTGGATCAAAAAGTTAGTCTTAACGTATAACTGGAAAAAAAATTACAAGATTAAATCTCTGCATATTACAGCAGAGTCCCAAGACAAAGGTCCCCTTTTATTAAAAAGGTACCAACACTGACCCTATAGTGTTTAGCCGAGTTTGTTCTTTTTGTATCCTGAAGCTGTGAAACTCAAAATACTGCAGATCAGTCAGTTAATTTTTAATTCAAACAAACACACTTTGGACTGTTTTATCTGTGTGTGTTTGTTCTGTCTGCCTGAATGTGCACTATTACTCAGCACTGTGTATCACTGCAATTCATTTGTAAAATTTGTACTTTTGTGTATTTCACAAGATGAAATCCTCACTGTGTGAATTCCGGTGTGAGTAGTTTTAAATTGCTGTCAGCTGAAGGAATCAAGACTCTCGTTTAGTGTTCATAAAAGCTTTAGAGTATCCAAAAAGAGTCCCATAATTCTGAAGGCAACATTTACCCTGGCAGACCGTTGAGTTCACGTCTGGGTACAGACAGAACTATGCCAAATTTATATTCAACACTTTACATTCCATTGCTGAGGTTATGTCACTTAACAGTTTTCCCACTGTCATACAATACTGCCTCTTAGTGGTAGAAATGTTTATTGCTTTATTTCCTGGTTTCCAGTCCTCTGGGATGTTCAATGATGAGTGAATTTACAGTAGTTTTGTCCAGCATTTTTCTGAACTCCGTTTGTAATTAAATGTGCTTGCACAAAGACCTCCTTACTCTGAAAGTTTGTGGGGTTCCACAGCAAAGCATATCGAGCAATAAAGAAGAATGCAGCCCATTTAAGAGCTGATATGATCCCTGTGCTCCCAGACATTACAGTTTTTGTTTGTGAGTGGCCAAGAAGCAAAGAAAGACTTGTTGTTAATAAACAAGCTAAGTAATAGTGTTTGATTTAAATTCAAACCAGATTTATATTGTATAAATGTATTCTCATTATATACTCAAGATCTTCGTCATCGGCATTATGTTTTGGTTATTTTGTAAAATGTTTGTAAAAAAAAAAAAAGTTTGATGAAATCTTAGGTAAAGAGGTAAAAATTTGACACCAAATGATGGTTTACATTTTCTGCTACCTTGTCATTTGCTGGTGCTTTCATTATTTTAAGTGTTAACTGTTAAAATGATTTTAGTGTTCAAATGCAAAAAGAAGCCTTAAAGAGAGACTACGACTGGTAGCATGACATGGCTAATGTTAGCTGCTGTGTAACTGACATCCATTGATTAGCTGACTTGATGAGTATTCTGTGCTTGTGATTATACTGTTAGACAAATTCATGGTACCATTTATGGTGCCAGCTATGCTTTCATAGACACTGCTTATGTTTGATATATATATAGAAACTGGACACACAGCTGCAGAGGGAGAGGTCAACGTGGGCACTTTATCCTGTCAAATTGCCAGCAACAGTGGCAATGAAGAGCCAGCGAAGTGAGTGGAGTGGCCATACTGACCTAAAAGCAGAGTTTAGCAACTCAAATGTGAATGTGGCAGATGTTAAAAAAACAATTCTTTAAGAATTGAATCATGTTTTTAGGTGGTTTACAGGAAGCATGTATCTACTTCCATCTTTCAAAAGTGATCTTTTTAAAAACAACATTTTCTTTGAGCTTATCTGTAAAGTAGGCAAAGCTTAATGAGCTCAATGTTTTGCAGAGCAAGACTGCCGGAGTGTTTTCATGAGCCACACTTTAGATCATGTCGTCTCGCAACTTCAAAACGGGAACAGGGAGAGACGGTAGCCAGGAATGTTCAAAAAGGGATTTTGGGGATGTGAGGTCTCTCCAAGGACACAGAGCTTCCTCTGTCTTTTCCCTAATTAAGAATGCACAGATACAAACAAAAACATGCCGCCAACAACAACGCGTCAATTAAATTAGCTGTGACATGGACTGTCTTTAAAAGAAAATGTTTAAGTTGTGATGAGGAAAGGAAGGGGATCTCTCAGAGTCTGCACACAGGACCTGGCGGTGAAAATGAGATGCCGTGTTTTCCCACCACCCCTCTCTCCCTTTCTCCCTCTCTCTCCAGCTGCTTCAGGCCTCTGCTTATGTGACGCTAATTGTTTCTGCTACTTGTGCCAAGTACCTACTCTTCCCCAGCACATTCTACAGACAGGCCCGGGTCCCTCAGCTGCTTTTTGTGTCTGTTTAAGGAATGAAAAAATGTGTGCTGCCATCTGCAGCGAGCACACCACTGTTCTTCCCCCCCTGGCCGTGACTGTCAGAGTGCCACAATGATACACATTCACAAACTCTCTCAGAGGTAGAAAAAAAAGTGTGTGGTAGAGAAACAAGAAAACAAAACTGACACATACAACTGCTAATATGAAACAAAATAATTCAAGAGGTTCCTGTTTTGATGCATTTAGCGCGTGGGAGGAAAGACACTGTACATCTGAAAAAAGCCTTTTGAATTTTGCAAAACCATGCACAGAAGATATATATCTATGGAGTAGATTTAAAACCAGGCCCGTCTTAAAACTTATGTGACGGTCTGTATTTTGTTTTCAAGCATTATCTAGTAAGAAAAAAACTCCTGAGACAAGTCCACAGAAAGTTTTAGGCCTTTTTATCACTCCTGAGTTCATTCAAACTGCATGTCAATTTATTTAGTTGTTTAGTACCTAAACGTGAACAGCAAGTGGCAGTGTTGTTTAGCTAATCCACAGGCTCGTGGCACAAAGAGAGCCAGGCCTTCACTCCGCTGTCTGGGAAGTAATATCACTTTCCTCTTGTTGAATTGACCTGTGACACCGTCACAGAGTACAGAGAGCGGCACATATTGACATGCTTGTAATGCCACATGGCTGTTACATCCTCCGTTTGTTTATGACGGGGAGGCTGCTTGTGATGCACTCTAATAACAGCAGTCAGTTTGGCACTGTGTCAGCAGGCGCATGAATATTAAGTGATGCTAATCACAATGGAGAGACCGACGTCAAAACGACTGACAGACATTTCTCGGCATTCAATTGACGTCCTCAGATTTGTCCTCCGTTTGACAGCAGCGTCTCCCAACATGACATGCCTGTTTAAAGCTTCCGGAGGAGGCTCGCACAACGTGCACACGCACTAGCACCCACCATTAGAGATGCACTGACACTGATTTTACTCAAACTGGGCCACTGTGCTGCTGTGCAAGACCCGAACGACTGTTTCTCGACATACACACACACACAGACAAAGAGCATCGGTTTATGTAGGCCACTTGGAGAGTTGCAGAATGTAGATGAGGATATAGCAAAAATATTCCCCCAAACTGCTTTTCAATCATGGAAATCTGGATTTATTGCTGCAGTATTAAACTACAATGTATTTTGAAGCATGAATGTCGAGGATAAGTCCTTCAATTCATTATCATCCTCTCTTTGTGTATTCAAGCCGTACAGAACAAAACAGAGGATCTGCTTCAGGAAAAAAAAAAAGAGAAATGAATGGCAGGTGTGGTTGTTTGACTTTCAAATCACCTAGGCATCTTTTCTATTAACCCGGCGTGTAAATAAATACATAATTCAATTTCCATGGAGTCACACAATAAGTTGACAGTCCTCAAAAAGATCAAACAGGCTGCTTCAGGGCACGTGAGCCACAGTGAAATAAACCTTGGCTATATGAAAGGTGTTGACACCGTGAGCAAGCCACAAGAAGAGACAAATGTCATATCCTCAGAAACAATTACCACTGGTTCTTAAGCCAGCAGGTCTGCCAGCTATATCATTGTGTACACAGTAGAGCTGCTCCCACAACACCTCACAGTGGTTGTCAGTCAGTTTCACAGGAAAAAATGCTTCGTCTTTGTAACAGTACTGAATACTTATATATTTAACTGCCCTATTCCCCTTTAACAATGTACTTCCTCCAGTGTTTCGTGTGCGGAAAGTCACATTTTTATTTGCTCATCTCCACAAAGACAAACTCAATCTCTGCCTGAGTTCGTGTCCAGAGTCACTTCATCCTCCCTTCCTATTAGTCTCGCTCTCATCTGACTGCCGTGTCCCATTGTGATCGCACTTGAGGCACTAATGATAATGTTATAACCCAGACCAATTTGCCATGGCAATCAGACTCGCTTAATTGAGTTGATTAGAAGCCCTCTGTCTGAGATGACCCCTCCGGACTTGGTAAAAGGGAACAGAGAGAGACGGAGGATGTGGTTGCAGGGATGGCCGGTTTCTTCAGGCATCCCATCACTGTGCAGGAGACACATGGGATATGACTGTTTGGAGGCATGAGCAGACACATGTGTGTGTGTGTGTGTGTGTGTGTGTGGGTGTGTGAGAGACAATTCTTCATGTGTGGGGTGTTGGGAGATGTCGTGTTGGGAGAACAGGCCTTCAGGGGGGTGTAAAGAAGGAGAGGGGTGGGACAGTGGCGCTGACGGGGGATGGGGATCTTGGCTTGGGCTTCGAAATCACAACACTGCCTCTGTAATAGACCCGGACACAGACCACATCTGAAGTTAATCCAATCAGGGAGAAGCATGGCGCTCCCATCCGCTCAAGACACACAAACATAAGGTCAAGAGCAGCTTGTATTAGCGCGATGATGTCAGGGAGAAGTGGTGTAGTTAATTGTAGTTCTTGTACAGCAACTTTTGTTTAAAACATTTGACCTTTGAGAAGTGGGGCTCCTTTTGTTAAATAAAACATAGGTTTGTATTCCTCAAAGTATAGTATCATTTTAGTATTAGTACCAAAACTCAGGTATTGTATGGGAATGGACTCATCACCCTATCTCAAAAGAAATAGTAAAATATCAGAAAAAAAGTCAAAAAATTAAAAATCATTTTGTGAATGAGAATTATTGTGATCTGTGTGCTTGTGGAAGTTGGTAACCGCTG